ACATCGACCAAAAGTTAATTTTATTTGTTTCGTGGACATTTATTTATTGAACAGCACTTTTCTCAAGAATTGCGGATTATTTTCTGAACAACATTTTTCACGAAGACAAAGGGCACTTTGTGTCTTCTGAAAATTTGGGGCGCCTAGGCCCCCTGGTTCCTACGCCCCTGAGTGGAATATTTTGATATGCATATCTTAAACCTTCCAGTCGCCGCTATACATGTTAAGCCCCTTTCAAAGAGACTAAACAATGTTGGCCCATCACCGTCCAACAGTTTTCAAATAATGTTTCATACTGTCTGTTTTACAAATAGTTTGAAGCACAGATTTTAAATTTGGATAAATCTTATGATTTTACCGGAAAGATTCAATGATGTTGGGCCAGCATCTGTTGTTGGGTTTGTTTGAACGAGCCTTTATGAAAAACTATAATTTTATCCACATTCAGAACGCGCGTCATTTGGGTACTGTATATGCAGTCCAAATTCCGAACTGGTCCCTGTATTGTTTCTGCATGCACTCAAACGGGCGCAGTGGTGATTGTCATTCGTGTGTTTTCACAGCAATAAAACGTTGTACATTCCCTCAACGCGGACTGTCATTTCAACATTTTTACTGCAATAAAAAACTCGTGGCGACGCGCCTTGCGTTCAGGACTTGTCAGCACTTTGATGAAAATGTACACAAAAAGCGACATTAATTGGTCGGGGAAAACAAATTAACATAACGACACGTCTTTTATACTTTCTTGTCTTGTTTGTTTAAGCTCGAAATCTATTTTAAAAAAGCAAACAATGGAATTAAACTTCCTCAGACGAATCATGCAACCGACGTTAGAATAAAACAAATTAGGGTGAAATTTCAAGACCTATTTTCAAAATTCATTCGCGCAAAACTGCAGAAGGAAATTTGTACGAAGTCATAAACATAGTATAGTGCGAGTTGCAAAAACGCACCGGATATTTATCATTGTTTTATTAAGTGCACAAACAAACATCGAAATCAAATATTTACTATTGGCTAAGAGTTCAAACGACAATAATATCATTTTCATAACTTTTATTGATTTAGACTAGTGCCCGAGTTCTAATCCGCGCAGAGCGCATAATTTGAATATTTTGCGTCGGAGCGGATAACAACCCGGTTTCCGATACCTCTTTATTATTTTAATACATCTCTAAAAATATCTGATTATTAAAAAATTCTTATAATGCGCATAAGACATTTCTATGATCTATGTACAAGCGCTTTCAATCTCGTGCGTTACATTCAGGCGGACGTGCTTAGTGTCTATACGATGCGTGAGGTACGTTCGTGGGACGTTTTTACATCAGACTGAATGCGTACTCATATATGGTATCCGTTCGAATAGTCAACAAAAACGCGCGAGCTCACTTATATTGTCATGCAAACTTCTAAAGTTCAAATGTGCAACTCTCCTTACTGAAGACGTGTAAGTTTCCAATGGAACTGTGCATCTCTAAGTCTATTAAATAAGGGACTGGCTGTATGAAATGAAACTGCCTCATAACTTAACTGTAGGCTAACATAGACCCAAGTTAGAGTTGACTCTAAGCTTGGGCTGGGTCAACAGAATGCTTTGTTGTGAATGCCTTTAACTTAGGTCAGTTAGGATAATCTGTCTTAATGAATTCCAATCGGCTTTCCAAATTTGCTTCAACAGAACAGTAGCATTAAATAGAGAAAAACAATAGTAATATCTCTCTTGACCTTGAACCGAAACAAATTTGGTGCGTCCTTTGCATACGAAACATAGACAAAAAAGTTAACTTTAGTTTGTTTAGACCTCGCACTGAAAAGTTAAAACACTTTGTGTTTGGCAGTTTCGCAATTCATACACCCAACCCCTAACTAGCTATATATAAAAAACAAGTATAAAATGTGGAAATGTCGGAATGTTCGCGTCGTGAATATGTCCTTAATGTTGTATAAAAGTGGCTTATATACGGAATAAAATGTTTAATCACCAGAATACATCCTCTGTATCATCAATATCTAGAAGATCCGAGGACGGTGAGCTTGGTAACAAAAATGAAGTGTCCAATTTGAATAATTCTTCGAAATCTCCATCCGTTGAGAAATCACTGGAGAGTTGTGGCGAGAGATCCGTGTCGATGCCTTCAAAGTCACTGGAACTACGGCTGCGATCATCTTCTTCAAGCATATCCTTCAATTGACGGATATACCTGATCGCCAAGCAAATTGTCTCCATCTTCGAGAGCTTTATGTGAAGCGGATTCAGGAAATCCGGTAGTCGGTCGCGTAGAGCGTAGATCGCATCATTCACGCGCCTTGTGCGATGTCTCTCTCGCTCGTTTGCCCAACGTCTTTGTTGACTGAGGCCCGTGAGCCTTGCTTTTCTTCTACGCTTCTTGCGTTGTTTTCCGTTATCGTCGTTTGCGCTCACCAATAAATCATCCGGCTTTTCAACTTTTAATGTAAAATCAAACGTCGCGGTATCAAATATACTCTCAGCCATTGTTGCACTGTACAAGTTCTTCACGTTAAAAGTACAGGAAAGGTCTTTGGTGTTGTCTAAAGAGAATAAACCGTGTTTTAGGTTGGATGGACTGTATAACGGACTGGCAGTGAGCCTAACTTCGACCTTATATAGGTCATTAGCAACCCACAAAATATCTGATTTCAAACATGCTATGAACGGGAGATAGTATACGAGGTGAGAACACAGATATATCTTTGAGATATCTCGACTGCGAAAACATGCCAGAATAGACTGACATGTCAGACAAGACGTCGATCTCTGCATAAGTACCAAACAAGGCATTTGAGTGCATGGGGCAACGGGACGATTGCGCAAATTGTGTAAATTAAAGTATTAGACAAATTAGTGCGTACGTTGGGTTGCGCAAATGCGCGCGGCAAGAAAACCAGTTTGGAACTGCGCGCAACGCCTGGTGGAGGTAATGGTAATTTATCAAAACGAAACAGCTGCTGCGCTGCCGACAGAAATCATGCACCTTGCACATTTGAGACCGAAATAATCTCACTTCCATCAATTCCTGAGCGTTCTGATAAACTTTCTTTTCTAATAAACGCTTGCACGAATATGCATGTTTGCAGAAATACTAAAACTGCTACATATAAGCTGAGCTGATTCTGTTAATTGTAGTCGAACTATGTTTAAATGGGAGTTAAAACAAACATACACAACAAACACGAGCTTTAAGAGGACGCAGGGTTTCCTCCCGCTGTTGGAATTATCATAAATAACAGATAAAGAGCTTTCAATTAGTGCAATTAGTCGAACCTGTTTGTAGCTTTACCGGTGGCCAAAAGAATACTGCAAGTAGGAATGCGCGCTTGACAAGATACGGAATTAGCTATCTTTGTCTCTTTAAAGCTCACTATCGGCCGATGACAAATTACACAAATCATCGGTTCGTAGGGTTGAGTAAAATCTAAGAAAATGAACACCTACATTGATATTGCTATAGGGTCGTCCGAATTCGCGGTGACTTACAGGTGACATTAGGGCACGAGACAAATTGAAGTAGTGCATAAACATAATGCGTGCAAACAATAATAACCAAGATAGTTTATTTTGTGGATAATGGCCGTAAATTGAAACAACAACGACAGATTATGATCCAGTTTCAATAACTTAATGGTGTTATACAAATACTATAAGCTATGTTTTTGAAGTGTTGACGTGATAAAAGACCTCAGTTGACAATGACTATTTTTTTTCTTAAGACTGGGCAATCCTTAGGAAATGACTTGCAGACAAAACTTGATGAAAATTATTTTAATTCCGCATCTGTTTTGCTACCCGAGAAAGCGGTAACTAAAGCCCCGTTTACACTACGCTCAATTTTTGGTACCGTACCACTTTTTTGGTTCTTGGACTACCTAAATAGGTAGTGGTAAAAGTGGTACGGGTACCAATTTTGTCCGTGCCGTACCAAAAATTGAGCGTAGTGGAAACGGGGCTTAAGATAACGTTGTTGCTAAAACAAGTATTTATCTGCACAACACGCTTCCACTTTAACTGACACTGATCGAGCAGTGAGCACTAACGGAGTTCTTTTAATTAACTCCTATGTTTTAGTATTTTAAAATCAGTGGAAGAAACACCTTCGATCGAGGGTTCGATACAATGCATTTATTACCGTGATACCAAGACAACAACGATACTGCACAAAATCAAATAATTTTATTTTCAGAAACCACAACATAGCTATACTGCCTGGAACTATATAAATGGACACTACTGATTACTACCTTAAATGCATGCATAGCATAAACGTTTCATTACTCGGCAATAAATGCAAAGCATATCAAATAATCAACACAATGTCACCGGTAAAATGGAATTAATTAACGCTAAATTGGATCCTTACATTAAACTCGTTAACGCTCACGTTGTGGTCATCACCGACTTCACGTCTCCTTTCGAGACAAATGTGCACAGTTTTTACTTAATAAGGAAAAGATTTTATGATTGCGCATCATGGAAACATATTTTTCCATCAGTCTGTTTATATTTTTTACCTTTTAACTGTAACTCATAAAGGTAATTTTATTTCAAATTTATAGCATCCTTTCAAGGGCTTCCCTGGTTGCCAGAGGTTCTGTATCTTTCGCCTTATTCTCGCTCGTATTTATTTTACGCGAGCGAGAATACGGCGAAAGATACAGAACCTCTGGCAACCAGGGTATTCAAGGGCAAGGTTGACGTCAACTTTCCTTCCCGGAAGACTGGCCCCAGGCACCCCTGAACAAACTTAAAGGAAACGATAAAACTAAGCAATAAACTTTGAAAGATGCGCCGATAAAATTGTCGCCTATATCTAATAATATAATCGTGACTGGAAAACAGTTCTTTCTTATTAAGATCAATATTCTTTTTGATATAACTTTTGTAAGAAATATGCTTTTCTTTATATAGTCGTTAGTATTTTTGTACAAGTGAACATAACAAATCCTACAAGGTGATTAGTCAAATTTGACGTATTAATCTGTTACAATACCTACAGGTAAATATAACAAAATCGAAATTTTCAAAATGGCAGTTAGCCGTTTTGTTGAAGTTAGTGATACAGAAATAAGCGAAATTAAAATGAATTCAGACCAGAAAAACACAAAAAAACTTGTGCAAAAATACTAAAACAATTATTCGCCTCATGCAGGCTCGGTGATTATCGGGGAATATTCACCTCGACTTCGTCTCGGCGAATATTCCCCGATAATCACCTCGCCTTCGGCGAATAATTGTTAATTATTGGCGTGCAGCAGGCGACGGTAGATTTTACCTGAGATTTGTAGCAAATCTCATAGTTACGCTGGATAAAATCTCATAGTTACACTAGGCAGAGAAATGAAACTCATTTAATATGCGAAATCTTAATTACTTCCGCCCAAAGCTACACAAACTTATTGGTGCGAGTTTTGCAAGCCTTACAGCGTCTTAACCCTAGGTTAAAACCGATTACAAGTAAAAATAAACACTTGTTTTTACAAACGAAATCACTGCCGCGCATCAGCATGCCCTATTTCACACATGCAGTGCTTTGTTGTTTTATAATTTATACACGCACATTATGCAAATGATTCTTCGTTGAAGGATTGGGGAATCATTGGTAAAGCATATACTGATATATAGGCAAAGATAAGGACAACGTTTCCTTTAGGTAAAAAAACATTCAATGCACACTGCATGTGTACTATTAGAGTTACTATATGAGGACATGATAAGATACTAATTCAAACACGTTGAAAAAATGCTATTACCTAATTAATACCTATACGCAATATGGCTATGCTATAAAACTTTTTTGAGCGGCAATTCGTCAACATCTCTCCGCATACAGCAGATAATGATCGGTGCCTATTAAATTGTCTTTGGGCTGCACAATTCGCATCCAGCCTCTTGCGTTGTTGGATCAGCAGTTTTAGAGGGAAAATTAAAGTGCTTACGACAGTGATATAAAGCAACTTTCCGAAAATTATACAGTATTCTTTTCATCCCTCTTAGCATTGAGAGGCGAGTTGAGAGGAATATAACGTGATTAAAATTTTGATTAAAATTTAAAATTACAGTTATAATTTTAATCGAAGCTTGCAGATTGGGCATGTTAATTATATTATTTAAACTCAGTTTGAAATTTCCACTAATCTAGTTATCGTCCCCATTCAGTATAGACATGCAGTATGAACAACAATTTGGCATCCAAAACAAATTTTCATTCACGGGCTCGTGTTATCACCGGCACGAAACATTAATAAATATAAGGCGCAATCAATCAGTTTAGGCTGCATGACCTTGTTTTCAATATGGATTCAGCTATTAGCCTATTACCATGTGAATGTTTTGGCATTGCAATCGTTGTTTGCAGATTTCATCAAAATTTGGGACAGCTATTAATTTAAATGTTCAATTTTCGTTTGCTTAAAATCGTGAAGTCAAAATTCAAACGAGAATGCCAGAAAAGCGACCATTTCGCTATTTCTTCGCTTCGAACAGGGCATTGCGTCGTAAAAACTAGGTAAATAGTTTAAAAACTGAATGTTTCTATATAACATTTCTTACAAGATTTGAGATTTTTTAGACAGCTATGCGGAAACGGTTAATTTAGAAGGATTGAATTCGAATATGTTAATATTGATGTCTGAATGATTGTGTGAAAATTGCGAAATGTTTAATGATAGGGATCTGTTTGTTTCATTGTAGATGGAGCAAGAATTTTAGATTTTCAGTTATGATTTTTTTAATAAGTAACAGCTAACGCACATTTGGGAAAATCAAAGTCTATCTGTAATATCGTGCGTTGCTTTATGACTAGGAACTAGACCTCGAAACTCAGTGCCAGTGGTTGGAAGATTGCATGGATTGGGAAACACTGGAACAGTGATGGCTAGTTCAGTTCCAACTAAGTAATATTATTTTTGTTTGCATGGTATCCTGGTAAGAACTTATTCTGTTGTATATATAGTACAAGCTCAGCGACCTTGATGAACAGTGTGACACAATAACATATTTCCTTGCCTTATTAGCTAATATGAATTAGATACTGATATATCTGAGAAAATTGTCAGTAGAGGTGAACCATCTGGATATAGGCTAGGGTCAGTGACAATGCTGGCTAGGTGAAGGACACAGAAATAATATTTTAACCCAATCCATATGCCACATTCGTCAGGATCATATGAACGCAGACGAGGAAATATCAGTATCTTATCCACCCTATATCAATACTGAATAGGGCAGTTGTTTACCACAGTGACGTAAACAAAAATACTTAAAAACAAAAACTGCGTCAGCATCCAGAGACACACCCTGTATTGCAGCTACTTGGAACAAAATCGAAAGAGAATAAATAGAACGTATTTCTAAATATGGTCCAAAACAACACGTCAGCAGTAAAACGGAAACATTAAATAATTGGTAGAAATTTCCCTATCACAGACTATATTTAAAAACAACAATATTTAATATTCTCACCACTGCATTAATGACGT